AACCGATTACCATAATCATTGGCCATCGTTAATATATCACGTAATTCCATCACGATCCGGTCAGCCGCACCCTGGGCTGTCAGGCCCTCCCGACACATAATTAAGTACATGTATGTGTAACGAGCTGTGCCCGCGCGCACCTCTTTTCTAAACGAGTAGAGCTCTTTGACCAACATGAAATGCTTGGCGCACGTGATGGTGAACACCTCTAACAGTTCGCTAGATGATAATCCAGAGTATTTGTTGGGGTCGAAACAGGCGCTCAGTTCGCTCAATATTAATAGCATGTTCGGGAAACAATTCACCTGTCTAAACAGGGTTAAAATAAATTATTAATTAAATTTAGCTAGCTGTATAAATGATTTTTAAAATTAATGAGCTTATTTAATTTTGATTATTTACTTCATGTCCATAAACTCTTCGTACGATATTAATTCGCCATGCTCATTTAGTTGCCGCTTATACGTGATGGCCGTGCCGTACGACCCGATCCATCCCATAGCATAGCGCTTGTGTCGGCGCATTTGGTCGACACTTAAACACCGGCCCAATCGGTCGATTGCCGTCACCAGCATTTTGTCCATCGGTGTGTTGTCATCGCTACGGCCGGTGCTGTACTTTCTCTGCCATTTACTTTTTAAATAAACAACATTTTAATTATGGTAGATTTAGTACAGTAAGCAAATTAGTTATAGATAACTTTAAGCTACTAAAGCTATGTGTCCTTACATGAACATATTTTTAAAAACTGTAATTCAATTTACTGACGAGGTAAGTATTTTTAATGTAAATACTAATTATTTTAATATGGTTAAATACAAAGAAAACATTCACTTTTATTGTAGTAAACAAATACAAGTTAATTTATTATATTTATATTTAAATAATAATCGTTCAACATTGTCTGTTTATTACAATAGTATATTGAACAATATTGTAATCATACGCTATTTATTTAAATAAAAGTTATTCTTGTAAAGTAAAAAATATCCATTTAATTAACTTTATAAACTTACTGTATTTCCTTTACATCACTGATACCATCAAGGTGATCGTCAAAGGCAATGGCAAACACACACCAATAATTCATCACGGTAAAATGACCATGATTATCAGTGGTGTATAACAAACTGCAATAATCAGCTAGCTGGTCAGAATTACCCCATTCATTGCCATATGTTTTAATGATTTCACGCACAACAATGGCCTGGGAGTCGTGATTGTGTCGGTTGCGATCAATAGGCTTTATCTGTAGACCACTTGTGCTATAGTCCAACAATTGATCATGGTCATTGGGATCAACATGTTTAATATTTAAACGTCCTAGTTGTCGGTATTGATTGGGTAAAGTGCCGGCGAACGTATTCATTTAGTAATCACTGTATATTTAGTAAACTAGTTGAATTTGTTATGATTAATTTTATTTTCTAGTTAATTATTTGTGATTAATTTTACCTTAATTTATTATGGTGTAATTTATTATAATTTAATTATGAAGCACACTGAAATTTTTACAGTAAATATTTTTTATTTTATAAAGTTGAAATATTTAACGCATTAGTGCACTTTACATTGAATGAATTCGTAAGCAATTTATCATTGTGCAAAATTCTTTAAATAAAATGTTTTTACGTAAACACTTTTAAGTGTAATTTTACTGTTATATAAAAACAATATAAAATAATTTTACTTATCGTAAGCTTAAATTTATTTTATAAATTTAATATAAGAATTTGTGGGATCAGTATTTTATAATTAAACATTAACATTGTTTTAAACATTTTAATTGTTTTATTTTAACATTTCTAGGGAAATGGACTTTTTAACTTAATAAATATTTAAATGTTAAACAATAATATTTTATTGTATTTATTGTGTTATTTTAAATTAAAATAATTTGATATTTGTGACAAGTAAATTAAATTAGGAATTAGTATTGTAATTTGAAGCAAGGTGACCACCGTCCACCACCAAGTTGGTGCCGGTTATAAACGACGAGTCAGGGGCCGCTAAATACAGTATGGCCGACGCAATATCATCAGGCACGCCACATCTGCCAACAGGGTACTTCGAGGCCAGATGGGCGTTAAAACTTTCATAGTCAACCCCCATTGAACTGATCAGGTTTGTGTAAGTACTACCTGGACTAATAATTATATATTTAAATAAATGAACTATTATTTTATATAGAAAATCACTAAAATTGCACAAAGGTAATTTACATGACACTATTAACCCGGATGCCTTTAGGGGCCAATTCGACTGCCATACAATTAGTGAACATATTTACAGCCACTTTTGACATACTGTACGGCGAGTTATTTGGCGGCTATTAATAAATAACTTGACAGTATTATAAATGCACATTTTGTAAATCACCATGCTACAATAAAATATAAGTACTAACCGGTTGTATCGCCGACACGCTTGATATGTTAACAATATTACCACGTGTTTTGGCCAAATGTTCAACACATATATGTGTCAAATATACCATAGAATGCAGATTTGTTTGCATTATATCGCGGTAAATGTCCATATATGACGTGTCCGTAAAAGTTGCGTATTTTTGCGCGCCTGCGCAGTTGACCAATACGTCTAATCGGCCAAACTTGGCTATGGTTGCGTCGACTAATCGGTGCATATCTGACTCACTGTTGACATCACCCGCCAGTGCCAGTACACCGCCGCCCGCAGCGATATTCCTGCACTCTGTGGTCACGTCAGACATTTGCTGGTCATCGTAGAGACCGGTTATAACCACGTGCGCACCCGCCCGAGCAAACTGTTTCACCGTGGCCGCGCCGATGCCCGAGCTCGACCCGGTGACCAAGGCTACTTTTTCGTTAAAGTTGTATTTTATCGACATATATAAATAATAAATGTTTTTTATTTAAAATTTATTTAGGTTATTTTTATTTCTTAATACAATAAATAATATTGTGCTATTACTAAACTTCTAACTATAACTAAACTATGTGTAACTTTTATAAGTTATGTTGCTTGAAATAAAATATATTGTTATGTTTGTTTAAATTATATAATTGATCGATAATCAAGTATCCCAGGGATACTTAGTGTTGCCACATGGCATATTGTGTTTAAATTGAGTGCTTATTTGTTTTACTAATAGAATTATGACATAAATCAAAAAATATATTAATAAAATATAATCGCAAACACTATCAAAAATTTAGTAAAATGTGATTTAATAATTAAATTACTAATTCTTTATTTAAAATGACGTTTGTGAATTGACTGTGAATTTGAATCTGGCTAACCTAAATACACATTACCCGATCAATATGTTTGATTATAATATTATGTTATGTTTGCTATCAAAATTTTATTTAGGTGAATTATGATAACAAACAAATAAGAACTTTTATTTAATCAATTGTATTTTTAGAATCTGAAAGTTTA